AGTCAATAAAAAGTATTTAAAGAATAAATGATAAAAGTATTATATATAAAATATAAATACTTATAATAAAAACATAACAGTTTGTAAATCTTTATTTTTAAATATATTTTCATAGGGGCTTAATTTTATGACACGCACTGTAAAAAGCACAACTGTCAGACCAAAATCGGCTATACATGGCACATTTTTCTGCATTGAAATCGACGTCTGAGCTTCACAATGTCCAACCCCTTTTCACTCAGAGGTCCTGCGCTGCCGAAGGATCATGAATCAGGCGAGTGGCCATAATTCTGTCGGCAGATAAAGCTATTACCGCCATGCCGGATAAGTGCGCAACCAGCGCAGGACGCTCGAGCTGCGAGCGGCGCTGTCCCCGTTAGATTAGAATTTAAATCCGGTGGCAGGACCCAAGCACCCAATCACCCACCACCCACTGAACCACCCACCCAGCAACCCTGCTCTCGCAAAAGAGCGAGCACAAAGAACGCGACTCGCTGGGCCATTAAGGATATCACCCCGAATGGCCGGGAACTCCGGTTTCAGCCGTTTCAGGCGGGTGGTTTTGCTCCCTGTGCTCCCTTTTGGCTCCCCGTTTCCTGGACAGCGCAGCTTAATACAAACATTGAATAAATCTCATTGCGGCGTTTATTTTAATTTCTACGTAAACATAAACTACGAGCGCCAAGGGAGCGGTCGCCCTTTCGCTGGTTGGTGATTCCACGCAGCAGGATACAAAGACAGGACACCGGGAATCCAGTTCGCTCAGTGGAATTTATGCCATTATATATTCCAATTTACAAGGCATTTATAATTTCTCATTTTAATAAGAGTACGTACAATACTGAATTAATTTGAGTAAAGCTTTTAATTAAAGTTTTATAAAAAGCATATTGAAATTTCTCAAAAATAATTGTTAGTACTTTGAAATTATTTGTATTATTTTATTTGATTATTTTTAGTAATTTTGAAAAGTGAAATAATATATTAATTTAAATATTCATGGTTCATTTTTAATATCCCTTTATTTTCTTTTACTTCAAAATTTACATATTGCTCAAGATTATGTAATGTAATAAATACAAAAAGATTAGTCATAAAAATAAATCAGATACTTTCCCAAACCATCTTCCAGTCCAATCCCATTACATATTTCATTTGTTTCATGGCGTTGCCCTTCAGGAATTGATTCGGAACATTTGCATGCATAATGACTAATTAATATTTACCAACTTGATGTTTGTCACTAAGACACCCCGACACCGACACCCCGGGCACGTTCGATAACCTTTTCGTACCCAATTGCAATGTTACCCTAATGAACTGCCGCCACTCGAGGCCAAGAGATGGGTTCGTGGCCCAAAAAGGGGCGGGTAGCTGAAATCAGCAACTTAATGTTGCATTTTATCGCCAAGACGCTCCGGCTCTGTCTCACCTTATCTCAGGCAAGGCAGATGAGGCCCTGTTTTGCCCCATCGGTGGTGGGAAAATGGTACCGAAGTCGGCAGCATGTTTGTATAAATTTTTTATAGGTAATACACTTAAGGAAACGACACTTAGAGTCATCATTACAAGCGCTCCGGCTGCAATAACAGGCCATCTTGCACATAGTTTTCGCAATTTACTTGATCCCCGGCGTGCGGCCGAAATCCACGGAGGGTTTGGCGGTGGAAACGGCTCCTGTTCCTGGTAACTGCTGGCCTCAAGTGCCCGAGGCAGTCGATTAGCCATTTTTAGGCAAACTTCGGCCCGCAACCGATGGCGTTTTCATCATCCGCTATTGGCCATTAAGGACACCGGTGGCAGGTTACGAGCTTAGTGCAAAATATGCCAGAGTTTAATCTTTAAGAACCGGGGAAAATCTAGCCAAACAGACAAGATGTCCAGACAGAGTCATCCCACCCCCTTACGAATCGCTTCTAATAATGCAATTGATTCTTGATTTGCACTCTCCATTTCGAAATTGGCCGCCGGGTCAGAGGGGAAATGGGCAAAAAGGAAAAATGCGCGAGGGCAACGTGCGCATTCCATAAATCCCCGCTTCATTTTCGCTACATTAAACGTCAAAATATGAACCCATTTGTGAAACATTTTTGCCGCTGCCGAGCGTCCAGAATGGCACTAGCCCATTATAACTACAAAAACAAGGGCGACGGCAGCAGCAACAACAGGCGACTCCCGCGCGGGCCAACAATATTACGGCAATAACGAGACGAACAAAAGGAAAAAACTGGCGAACGCGGGAAAGGTCCGCGGATGGAAAAGCCATCCTAGATGGTCGACCACTGAGTGGGCTTCATTCTAAAAGCTAAAATACTATACATGTCTTAGAAGGAATCGCTTAAGAAAGCATTACAATTCTGGTTTAAAAATATTTATAATGATATTGTCTTTTCCTTTTCTTTCATCCATATAAAATAATCTAATATATATAACTGTAAAATAAATTAAAAAATAGCATTGTCTTTAATAATATCTCAAAATAATTTTTAAGATATTTAAGAAATGAGAGTTCATTTGTTTCAATGTTCGTTCTTAGAAAATAACTGAAATGATTATAATACTATGTTTCGCAAATCACGATAACTTAACTATAGTTAACATATATGTTAAATTCCCTTTTAAATCCCTTAAAAGTTTTTAAAGATAGGCCAAGTTCAACGGAAAACTTTTGATTGGAGAGATCGAAAAAATATGCTAAGATGAGGCTTTGGTACAGGCAATTTCATCTTCTTATTCATGAATTTCCGGCAAAACGAGTCCGCTGAGTGTCATTCCAGCCGTTGTCCTCCGTCGGAAGGGGAAATGGAAAATGGGAAAAGGAGGGGCGGAATCGAAACCGAGTCGATGAGATGCGCACGTTCCGGACAAAAAAGCAACAATGGCAACTCATATGAGGCATGCAGCGAGCCAGTCTCCGGGGGCTTTGACTCCCGCTGCAATTACGAGTATTTTTTAACTGCTTATTGCGTTTTCGTCCTCCCGATCCAATCCCCCAGCAGTGGCAGCCATTGAAGTCCGGATGTGAGTGCCAGCAACAAGCAAACAAGGACCAACAACTGAATTTCATTCGATTTCAATGCGAAAGGGGATCTCGAGAGCTCGCCAATAAAAATTAACGATACACGCATACCCAGTTCACAAAATGTTGGCCTTTATATAAAGTATCTTATTTTTTTGTCTGCTGTTTTTTGGTTGGTGGTTCGAAATTTCAATTTCGTGGAAAACTGAATTGCGTTGTCAAGAGGTTTTTGCACATGTGGATGTTTAAAGTATCTTCCTTAAAATGTTATGAGTTAAGGTTTTTAAATGGAGCTTGAGTTAAGTGAGAAAAAAAAACTCACATAATTTAAATGGAAAAAATTATATTTAGTTGAATCGAGTTTAGATTACAGTTATAACTATAAATTAGCATTAGATAATAATAATACTAGTTTTAGTTAAATATACAAAAACCCTAACAAAAAGTAGGTATTAATGGAAATTGCATAACGTATTTTCCTAAAAATATTCATTGACAAATTTCCGTGTCTACTCTGTGCACATATGTATCTTTAAAAGCTCATTAACCAAACCATATGAGCATCCCGTTCCCAAGGACATTACCCCACATCACATCGCCTTCCACCCGCAATCACAACATCATTAAAAATCGCTGCTTCACTTTTCTCAATTAACCGCTCGAGCATCGTAATTCTGCGACTAAAATCTAATTTAGTTCGATGGGAAATGTTCCATAAGGAAAAGGAAGGTGGCTCCCCCGCATTTTTTGCACACCCAAGAACCCCAGCACCCAAAGAGGTCGTAACAATATTTTCACGTTTTTCCCAAGTCCGGAATGAGTTTTTGAAATTTATTTCGGTCTCTGGATGGGGAGAGTGGGAGACCCAGACCCATCCAATCCGAAAAGCGGCCTTGTAGAGGGGGCGACCAACAGGCGAGTGCCATTATTTTGATACTCAGGGCTATTAACGTTAATTTTCGTTAGTTACGTAATACGTATTCGAAAGCACCTTACACACACACAGCACCCGGGCACACAAACATATATATATCGAGTTCCATTACGGAAAATCCCCTACCCGTTTTCGCATTTTTCTCTCGGGGGTAAAACAAGCATCCACCATGCGTGTGTGGAACATGCGATATGTGGAACTGCTTAACCCCACAACCACCCACTCCACCTGCTCCTCCGCTTTTCCTGCCATTTCCCGGGTGTCTCAGTTTGTCCGGAGGCCGCTGGCATTAAGGAGATTTACGAGTACATGATTTTGCATGTTCGGTGCCCCCGATGCCATTTAGATTCGCTTAGGTACATTTTCATCCTGGCACCCACACACACGCTCCCCGCTTTGGATATATCTACGGGATCTGCGAACGGGTACGTGTGTGTATTTGCGTACGCATTTAATGGCCCATTAGTGCTATCAAATACGCATAAATATCTGCACTTTGCCAGAAGTACACCCGGCCAGAGATACCCGTACAAATTCAAAACACAGCCACACGGATGCGAGTCCGGAATAAATACCCACCCAAAACTCTGAAGGGAACAAATATTTGCAGATGCCAGTTTATTGCCGACTGGATGTCCCTTTTCCAGTTTAGCAGAACGGTACGGGGGATTTGGAAATGCAATATTGTAAATCGCACGCCCACAATCCCCTCTTTCCTCTTGGGCCCTTGGCTATTTTTGCTGGGAATAGCATAATGAGTTGTGTAATTACTGGCCGTACATTGCGGCTTACTTAATGTGGGGAGAATGTCTCTAAACGCATTTTGGATATTCATCGCTTTTTATACTAGCGGATAGGAGACCCCAAACTAAATTAACTGCAAATTAACCGCTTTAAAATAACTGAAACTAAAATATAATGTATTTAAGAGCTAATAGTTAGATTTAAGTGATAAAATTCGGACTCTGTAATTTATTAATTATATCTCCTATTTCTTAAAGTATTCAATCTAAGTAGACTACACGATATTATTGTTAGATTATTGGATTACACTTGTACAAAATTTCTATTTCAAATTCTATTTAAAGTTTGATTATAAATGCTGACCATTTGGTGACGAACAACCGCTGAGTGATGAAATGGAGGAAACGGGAATCGGAACCGGACCCCGAACCTGAGCCGCCTGCCGTTGAGCCGCCCAAGACATCCAGGTGGTCCAGTTCGAATCGGAGAAAACCGCCGCAGAGTATACCTAGTCCAGTGCCCCCACCCATCATCAGCAATGTGGGCCTCTACAAGGCCACCTTCTACAGCAACATAGGATCCTTCTTCTTCGGCATCGCCTTGGGTTGGTCGGGATCGGTGGAGAAGTCGGTGATGCAGCAGCACTCGTACTTCCTGCATCCCTCGGCGGTCGAATGGAACGTAGTCTGCATCCTGCTGACCCTCGGAGCGGCCCTGTGGTGCATCCCCATGGGCTACATGGTGCGATCCTGCGGCTGCAAGCGCACCATTCTCATCCAACTGCTGCCGAATACTCTGGGCTGGTTCCTCACCGCCTTCGCCAGGAGTGTCTATATGCTCTACGCCGGTCGCTTTGTCCTGGGAATGTGCGGTGGGGCCCATTGCGTGGCGGTTCCCATCTACAGTGCCGAGATCTGTACCAAGAAACAACGCGGTGCCATGGGTGTGATCTTCCAGGGGGCCTGCATTTGCGGTGTCCTGTACAGCTTTACAATGTCTATTTTCCTGGAATTGTGGCTGGTTAACTTTTTGAATCTGGGGCTTTTAACACTGGGCCTGCTGCAGATCCTCATGCCGGAGTCGCCGATTTACTATGTGAACCGGGGCAACATCCCGAAGGCGGAGGCCTCACTGCGATATTTGCGAGGCAAGAAGTACGAGTCGCGAAAGGAGATCGACCAGCTGATGCGGGAGCCCACGCAGAGTGAGCAGGACGTGCGCCAAGGACCGCTGGGGGGCTTCAAGTATAAGAAAATACGAAGGAGTCTCGCTCGGACCTTGGCGCTCGCCGTGCTCCAGAAACTGAGTGGTGCCCTGATCTTCAGCTTCTATGGCCCGAATATGCTGACCTGCCTGAAGGTTCAGCGCGAATATGGATCAGTACTGGCTTTGGGCATAACTGCCGGGTTTGTCATCTGCTTTCTTCTGGTGGATCGAGTGGGTCGAAGGCCGCTGCTGATCTACTCCTCGGCTGTGATGTTCTTCATGTCCGCCTTCCTGGGGCTGTACTTCAAGATCTGGATGTTTATGGAGACCACCGTCCTGCCCTGGGTTGCCCTCGTCTGCATATCTTTTTTTGTGGGTGCCTTTATCGCCGGAGTGGGCTCACTAACCTGGCTGCTCAATGTGGAGCTCACTCTGAAGCCCATGCGACCCGTCGGCTGTGCGATTGCCTGTGCCGCCAACTGGCTGACTGCCTTCTTCGTGGTCTGCTGGTTTGCCAGTCACGAGATCAAGTGCCAACCGTATCTGTTCCTGCTGTTCGGCATCATCGCGGTGATTGTCCTGCTCTTCTCACTCGTCTACATCCCCGAGACCAAGAACCTGTCCTCGGCCAAGATTCAGCAAAGGATGGGCGGGATAATGAACAGGCCCACGTCGATCACATTCACTTCCAGCAGCGACTCCTCGAATGCTTAGTTATTGTCTCTAATAAATTCAAGGTCAATTTAATTATTTTGTAAGGTGGAATTTCAACTGTAAGGATTTTAAATAACCTTAGCTTATAACAAAAGTAGCCAAAAAATTTTGGATTTAAGTTTAAGTTATTAAAAATCATGCTTGATTTTGAATTGAATCGGAGGAAATTATATAAATTCTAATCGGAATTAACTTTTAGAAATATTATATTTTTGTTTTTTGTATATCTGGTAATTTAAAAACACCTCTTGTAAATTTTTTATGATGGTTGTGTTATTTACATTGATTCATAAGCTTAAGACATTTTATTACATTTTATATACAAAGTCAGAAACGAGTAAATTATTCCAATTCTTATATTATTCTTAATGCATTCTTAAAGACAAACCCAAGCCATCGTACTGCTTCCTGCTTTCCCTCCGACTACATTGTCTTTGGCATTATTGAGCATTTATTTATTTATGCATCTTGTGTGGCGACATTTTCTGTTTTTGCGCACTTTTTCTTGCTCGCGTAATTAAAAGTTATGTTTTACACTGTAAATTCATTGGCGGTGCTGGCACATTTATGAATTTATGCGCTGTGTGCGCTGAAAGCTGCGCTAAGGCGAACACAAACTGGAATCGGGCTCCAGTGGTATTCTGGTACGAGTATAAATATTAATTTGCATTTTGTCACATGATTTAGACGGCCATAAAGTCCAATTAATGAGAGGTCTCATTGAGATAAACGATTGAGGAGAGGGAGAGCTGATGGTTGCCATTTAGTTCGTCTTGATGTGCGTACTTTGGATTGCTAGTATGCCGATTCACAGTGCACCACGCGGCGATCAATCGAGATGTTCGCAATCTATCCGCAATTAATTGAATTCAACCTAAATTCCCCGCTCACCTGTCCCCCAGCTACACAAATACGTATTTACCTTCCCACGAGCGACGCATGCAAATCGGGGTTGACATTCTGCGGCAAATATACGAGGCACCATAAAAATAGTTTACGACTTTTAATTACGGACTCAGCGTGCGGTCGACGGACAGAAGCGGGGAGCCGGGAAAAAAATATAATGGCTGAGCCTTCGGGCCTTTGTCTTTCCCGGACTTCTTCCTGGCTAATTTATTGGGGTTTTAAGCCTCCATTTTGGCTGGCCTCGCTGGTCCTGGGTCCTTGTAATTCCCCTGAATTATATCTCAATTCATTCCCCCCAATAAATTTGATAAATTTCTCATTCTGCTTACCTGCCCGCTGGGATCTTCCGATCTCGGAGCTCCGATCGCCATGCCGCCGGATCGTAAATTAATGGAGGACTCCGCCATGTGCTCGCAGTCGCACAGGCTGATTAAAATGTTCAACTCGGCGCGTCTTGGGTTTCTCGGCCGTTAATTATGCACTTCTCGGGGGGAAATTTAAATGTATAATTTCTTAAAGTGAAATGGAAAATTAATTATTCGAATGTGCGCTTCGAACAAAGGCAGTTCGAATTGAATTGTAATGAGCTGCATTCGCTAATTGAAATGACATTTGAAGCTCTTATCGGCAGATTGATAACTTCCCATATTAACGCTGAAAATAATATTTATTTACAACATATTTTTCAACATGTAAGATATTTGAAATTGAAAAGAAACAAGTAAACATGGGTTAACCCCATTTAAAGGTCCACTTAGGATCTGCAGAATCAAGTGCTCATATGTGTTTGTATAAATTCGCATCTGATAAACCCTGAAATACACTCAATTTGTGTGCGAATCGACTTCATTTCGACTTGAGACGCTGGTTAAGTGGAAAGTCCTGGGGAAAAAATAAAAACCAACAAGAAGCTGCCGCCAAGAAGCGCATGTGCATAACCGCCCATTTGCGTGGGCGAAGACTTCTCCTTGGCTGCGCTGCTGCGAAAAGGATGGCTAGATGGCTGAGGACCACAGCCAACGAAGGTGAAACCGGAGTCCAAATCCACGAACGTGGCTCCAAGTCGTCGTATTGATTTTAGTGGCGCATTTACGCGCGATTATCGTTTAGTCGGCGATGCCCGAAGTATTACGAGAATTGTTATGGCCACCGAAATGGCTCCCAGCAATTGCCAAGAACGAGTCTGCGACGACATCGTCATCCTCATCGTCCTCGTCATCGTCTTCGGCTTGTGGCCACCAAAGAAGCTCAACTGGCAGCTAGACAACAACAGCCGTCGGGTTGTCTTCTTGGCCGAGATTGTGGGTGGGAAAAAGCTCAGACTGGCAAGCGAAAAACTCCAGAGTCAGAGCCTCTCAAGAATCTTTTGTTCCAACATGCCGTCGGGATATAGCTAATTTCTGATTGTACCACGAACATTGAAATTAAATTACACAACTGGGGTTTAACTAAGTGTTTGCCTAAGCCAACATAAGACATAAGGCAAATATAGTTAAAGTCATGTAGTTATTTCAGATTTTGGTCCAAGATAATTCTACTCTTAGATACCATTATTTTAGAATTATTGAATATTTATTACATTTTAATGCGCCCTTTTGAGGTAAAGATTAATTATTCGATTTAATTACTTTTGCTTTTTGTTTTCAATACAAAACTTAAATTTTATTCAATATGTCTAAGAACAATACAAATTTTAAATTATTTTTTTGTCTTAAAAAATGTCAAATAATTGGATTGATAAAAGCTTGAGTGGACCTAAATTTATATAACTTTGAAAATAATATCTTCAAGATATCATAATATTTAGTCCAATCACGCACGCTTTCTCCAGTTTCAATCGATCGGGCCCTCAAATTTTTGGGAATCCGAAGAAAAGCGACCCAAGGGAAAAAGGGAGAATCGCTGTGGCGCGAAAAAGGATGCATGAAAATTGCTTTCATATTTCAGGTGATAATGGTTTCCTTATGTGAATTTACAAAACATTAAAGCTCCTGCCGCTGAGGCTGCTGCTGTGTACGGGGTATACATAATTTGGCCAAAAAGCAATTCACGTTAATGGCGCAAAATCCCAAAAGGATAAGGCGGCGAAAAAAGTGCTCGCCCCCCCAAAAAATTCTCCCTTTTTTTCGCCGCTGCCAGCCAACGGAAATGGCGAAGGGACATCCGAAGATACGGGCACGATACGCGATTTGGGGGGCGGGATTCGGGATTGGGATTGGGGCTTCGGGATGTGGGATATGAGGGGAGGAGGGAGGACCTTCAGCCCCCATCCTCCCGGCATGGCGACGCCAGCGCTTCGTTGTTTATTGTAATGGGCGTTGTACCGGCGCCGCAGGACGAAGGATCCGACCCCATCCGGCTTTTTGGGAGCTGCGCTCCCTGCCAAGGATATACGAGGTCATAAACGAGATTAAGAACGCTGCTGGCAAGCGGAGAAAAAAACTACAACAAAAAGCAGTCAAAAGGCAAGCAAGTGGAACCGGGCCAGGTACTTGGTCCTTGCTCCTCACTCGGATTCGATTTCCTTGTATTGCTCTTGTGGGAAATGCCAAGAATAATTTCGTGCATCTTTTTACACTCCACTCCCACAGTCTTGGGTATTTTTTACCCTTAGCCAAGGCACCAGGATTTCGATTTAACCTTCGAGCCAACCTCCTAACTGCATCTCTTACCTGTTTGGTTTTTTTTCTGCCCCTCCAAGTGCAAATTTCCAAGCTGATGATAATAACCGTGAAATATGAAATCTGCAAAGTGCCCTATTCTCTTTTTATCCTCCTGGCAATTAACCTTGGTCGCATTTTTACTGGCCGCATCCGTTGCGGTGGGTTAATAAGTGCAAAAAATGAGCACCTTGGCATGGAGAAATGGGCATAACAATGAATCGTCCTTGACTCTTACATTACCGATTTTAAGTTGGAATTTTCTATGGCACAAGTGATGTAAGAAAAAATAATGCAAGTCTAAAGGACGCAGATGGAAAATAGTAAGACCTTCATAAAAAGAATTCCAAAATTTCTTGGAAATTTAAAAAAAAACGAATATTTTTGTTAAATATTTTTTATTAACTTTGTTTTTTATAATAACTTTTTTAGAGTTTTTTTTTAATCCTCGAATTTTTTCTTAATATTTTAATAATTATACCTTTAATGTCTTAATGACTTTAAAATCCGAACACATCAAAGCAAAACTTTGCTACTTTTTAAAGGATTTCCTTGCTTACGACAACATCCTGTTGCATACAAAATGCCGCAATGAGTCTAATCCTGCTATTCAAATGTTTATCTTTCAATATAGAGCATCGTTAAACTAAAGGCAAAACGCGTTCTGAATTTCCAACCACTTGAAGACACTGGAATTAGACAAGTCCCGGCGAGAGGAACTGTAACAGCTGCAAAAAATTAAATGCAAATTAGAAAAACTCTCAAAAAACGCAATCGCATTAGTCTCAGATGTGAGAAATGTGATATAGGAATATATATCCCACCCACACCCGGCAGATAGAAAAGTGCGGCTGTGTGTACGAGCGGGCAAAGTAATTTTTCTTGAGACTCCCCAGCAGAAAAGCAATTTAGTAAGCTGCTGGGCCGAGGTCGAGGCTTTAAGGGGATGGGGGAGGCAAAGCCGCAGGGGGAGGGGGGTTGGTTGGCAGGGATATGGAAGAGCAAACCCAATTTCCTTCCCGGCCAAATGGAATCCGCTGGCTACGTGCGCCCCAAGAAGCGCGCGCGTCTTCCCAATAAATCTACTTTACGACCGCACACTCTGGCAACAATGGCCGATCCACCACCCCCTGGTTCACCCCCTTGGTACACCACCACCAACCAACCCCACCCACTTGCTCGCCCACGGAAAATGAACCTAAGCAAACTATCCGAATGGCATCTCAGACCCTAAGACGATGCTGACTCCGAGGAGCTGCACTGTGAAAAACCCAACTTAAATAATTCAATTTTTCAAACATCTCTAAAAATAACAATACATTCTAATTAAATTAAATTAAATTAATTAATTTATCAATTAACTAATATAGCTTATGAAATGGTAATAGTAATATTTTTACACCAAAATTATTTACCTTTAAATATATTTATTTAAAATAAGAAAAACACTTCCTATCATGGTTTTTATTA